ACACACACGATGGCACTCTGCAGCAATGCCACGAAGTTGGTCGCGTTTTGGTCGAAACACCGCACTGAAGTTTCCGTTAGGCACAAGATTCTGCCTTGTTGGACCTGATCTGGAAGCTCCTGATGCATGAGCAAGGATGCTCAGACAGGCCTCACTGGCTCAGGGGGGCGCAGCTTCCGCAACCAACAAGGGCGCTTACAGCTCAACGTCGTAGGTAGGAAATTGCGTCCCGGAATATTTCTCAAAATTGTGCTGAACCCGATGATTGCTGGTATTTATACCACTGAGAGGCCGAGGACTCAAGAGTGTGGGCTTCTAAAACACCTGCTCATCGATTAGTCCCTCAGTTGCCGTCGCTTGACAGGTTCAGATTTCAATACACAAGATTTCACCCATCATCCCGCTTCAACTATTATACAATGCAGAATTCCCCACCGCTTAAGGTCGCGAAGCGCAGGGCTAGGCCCGTGAAAGCAGCGCAGCCGAGCACAGCTTCTTCCCCTTTGGCACCGGCCACAACGGGGACGACGCCCGATCAGCCACCACGCCGAGCTTCAGTCAATGTTCCTTCTTGGAATCAATTCGCCGGCCCTAGTTGGACCCCAAATTCTGAGAAGCCTGATGAATCTGAGGTGGACACCCCGTCGAAGAAAAGCGTCCCCAGAAACAGATCAACATCTGCGATGTCGTTGAAATCGGCAAAACCTCCCCACATCGAGAGACCTGACAACCTTGGGCGAAATTCTGGCGAGCTTGGCAACGTCACTCGGGCTAAGCCATCTTTGCACAGTTCTTACACTTCCCCAAGCCTAACCTCTGAAATTGAAAGACGAAATCAACGGCCTGTCGTACAGGATCGAAGTGCAAGCGAGCAACCTTCAACGCCAGCAAAGAAGCTTAGCGGCCCCCAAATCGACCGCAAACTTGAGTTCATGATCAAGGCCGGCCCTAAGGCAAAGTCTGCGGGCTTCCTCTATGTACAGGTCACCCAGCCACGCGAGATCAAACAACGTCTACTCAAAATCGGCGTCACCAAATTCCTTCCAGAAAAGCGTGGCAAAGACATTCAGTACCAGTGCAAACACCCAGAGTTTTTTGAACATGAAGATGCACCAGCAGTGAAATTCTCCTGGAACGGCTTTGCCGAAAAGCTGGTCCACGCCGAGTTGACCAACTTTTGTCGATCATGGGCCTGCGGCTGCGGAAAGAAGCACAGAGAATATTTCGAAGTGAGTGATGAAATCGCTCTGGAGGTCTGGAGCAGATGGACAAAGTTTTGTGAACAGGAGCCGTGGGATTCCCAAGGCAGGCTGTTGCCAATGTGGGAACATAGACTGCGGCATAGAGTTCGGTTCACCGACTCAAAACAAGATTTCGATCATGGAGAGCTTGCCAAACACTGGCGAACATGTGTCTTGCCAAGTTCGATAGAGCTCCTCATAAACGACACTCGGGTTCTCTGGAATCATATCTACCCCAATCGTTGGCATTTTGCTGCCGTGGCGGAGGCACTTACAATGGTTTTCATATGGCCAACTTCTTTCTGGACATCAATGTGGTGGAAGGTGGTTCTCGTTCTAGCTATGCTGGAACTATTTTGCCTGGACGGCATGTACATGAAGGAGTCTTTTTCCAGCCTTCTGAGTGGAAGTCTTCAACGCGTCAAACTTTGGTCGCTATCGGACTTGCCAGAGCATGGGCCAGACCTAGAAGCCAAAGATCCCTCGCCAGCCGTCTCTTCTGAGCAGCAAGCTCAAAATGGGCTTCATGAAGATGCAGACACAGAGATGATGGAGGATGTTCCCAATGGCGAGGATGACGACATTGTTGATGGAGAGTGGGATGAGTCTGATAACAGCAGTGACGATGATCAGGTTATGGACGAGGATGTTCTTTCTGATCAGAGTGCCTAGGCAACCTCTACCAACTCACGACTGAGTAAAACCAAGCCTAAGCGAGTGATATTAGGCACAAGCTTCTTTCCGGATTACAGTAGTAGGCAGCGAAATTCCATAGTGATGGACTCTAACTGAGTCTCAGTATCTTGCTCTTAGTTCAAAGGAAATTTCAACTCCGTTTGGCCATTGCTATGTTGACTAATACTGCTCCTTAATCACTATGATAACAATGAGTCCGAGTAGAAGGGCCAAAAGTTTGAGTCTCACGGCTAGACATAATTGGAATTTGTACAACTATGTCATGATGCGCCGCCAAGGCGATATTGAGGAATTGTAAAACACCAGGCTTCCTTTCCAGTATTGTGAGGAAATTTGTCTGCTCTGAGTCCATGTTGATCATCGGGAGCTAGTTTACCCCGCTAGGCCGCCTAGCAAACGTCCCGCTTATTGTTTTGTACCTCTCTACTTCTTTTTTCCCAAAAGGGTAAAAGCCTAGCATAGGAATTACGTAGATCCTGCCAAGATTGCTGACAGTCCCCCAACAGCACCCAATCTTCCCAATGCGGCTCGAAGCTGTGCCTTGTAGTCTGAGACAAGCAGGGCTGAATGCGAATCTGGCGCGACATGTAAGCTCACTGCGCATGCAATTTGTTTGCCAAATTGAGACTTTGGACGTCCTCTGTGGGCTCAGTCGGGCTCAGCTTTTCGTCGCCAAGGCGCCAGTTCCGACTTGATGGAATAAGTTATTGCGATGATTTGACGAATCAGCCGCATAGCCTCGATCCTCTAACTTAGAACCTTGTTTTTTGCTTGATTTCTCGAATTGATAGCCACTATCCAGGCAGTCAATATCCTCTAGCCACTTCAAGCTGATCTTGTCATTATCGCTAACATCCATCTCACACCTCGTCGCACATATAAGAATGCAAGTCGGTGCAATAGAGGAGAATCGTATCTCCTGAATATTCATTCACACATCATATCAAACCATTTCAACTCTCAAATCGGTCACCATGAAATTGCAAAGTGCTCTAATCAGCCATCTCCTCCTGGGATCAGTCAGCGCCCTGATAGCACCGACTGAAGCCCATACCGCCCTACGGAGAGACGACCATAATTCTTCGGCGCCATCAAACCAGTCATCCATCCAATGGACAGAGTGTGACTTGGATTTTGGAGAGGCTGGCAACGCTGTTTTTGACGCTATGCCGGAGAAATTTCAGTGCGCCAAACTCGAGGTTCCGCTGGATTATACCAGTCTCAGTTCTGGTGAAACCATCCAACTCCAATTGATCAAGGCCAGCGCAAACAAAGAACCCTACATGGGGAGTATGCTGTGGAACCCCGGCGGACCAGGAGGCTCTGGCGTCGAGTCAGTTGCTGCTCTGGGGCTCAAATTGCGAAAGTAGGTCGTTATCAGCATCATTGCTTCTCATCTGAGGTGCTAACTCACTGATTGTAGCATCGTTGGAGGAAATTACGATATCATTGGATTTGATCCTCGGTAAGTATCATGCCATTTTAGCACCCCGTCTTTATTACGATCATAACTGACACATTTACAGAGGCACTGGCAAAACCATTCCATATGTCTGCAACGTGTCATCGGCTGAGACTTCTGTCACCCGACGTGATTTTGATACGCTACCCAAGGGTGATATCTGGAACAGTATCAAGACGGTAGACTGGGAACTCTGGAAAGTCACGGCCGATGCCTGCTTCAGAGACTATGCCAAATACGGCCGCTTCGTCGGCACACCTTTCGTTGCCAGAGACATGATTTCGATCGCTGACGCCCTCGGTCAAGGCCCCAAGGTGAACTACTGGGGCGTCTCCTACGGCACCGTCCTCGGACAAGTCTTCGCTTCCATGTTCCCTGACCGCGTGGGACGTCTTGTCTTGGACAGTAACCTTATCGCCGACGACTATGCCGATACCACGTGGAAGACCGGCCAAAGAGACACAGAGCGCGCCCTACACCACCTCTTTGACGAGTGCGTCGAGGCTGGTCCTGAGGCCTGCGTACTGGCCAACTTCACCGGCGCCGACACTACCGGGGACAGCCTGATGAAGGCACTCGAAACTCTTCTCGAGGAGCAGATCAATGACAAAAATGACACCGCCAACGAGAAAGACGACATCGTATCTCTCTTCAAGATTTCCCTGTTGGCAGAGCTCTACAAGCCTCTACAATACCCTCTGGCCGTCGAAAGAGTCCACGCCGCCTTGACAGGCAACTGGACCCGCGCCATCGCCTCGGCAGCGAATGCACTACCGTCCGAATGGAACGAAGGCGGCACCTTTGGCGTCTGGGGCATCTCCTGCGCGGACTCTTCCTTCCGCGTCGAGAACTTGGATGATTTGTACTCTATCTACCGAACCCACTGGGAGGGTAGCTCGTTCGGCGAAGCCAGCGCCAGGCTGCGCATGCAATGCTCACGCTGGAGGTTCGATGCCGCGGAGAAGATCGACCTCAACGCTTTGAGAAACGTCAGGACCAGCTTTCCGGCTCTCATTATCAACGGCCACTGGGATCCGGTCACCCCCGAGAACACGGCATGGGAGATTTCTGCGCGGTTCCGGAACAGTCGGGCTGTTATTCATCACGGAGTTGGTGTAAGTATTTTCGTGTCATTTTCCCCGCAAGTATCAATGCTAACATGTCTTTCAGCATGGATATACCAATCACCCCTCTAGCTGCGTGGACAACATCGTCCGTGAATATTTCCAGAATGGCAAGATGCCCGAGATCGGGACTACGTGCGAGCCGGATATGACTGCATTTGAATATGTCGCTTCCCAAGCAAAGAAGGCAGAGGAGAGTGAATAGTCGAGGGGTAGTCTAGCATTTCGAGGCTTTGTACTTACTTTATGCATCTGGAGTGGCTGTACGTGCATCAGTGCAAGTAGAGAAGCTTTTTGCCCATTTCGCCATTAGGGACTCGGCTTTCTCCCTTGTTTGTCTGTTCACTTCTTCTGGGATCACTTCTTCTGAGACCACTTTCTTTTCTCCATCAGAGAGCATCATCGTATTTACTCATTCCATCAGAAAACTTTCCTTCCCATGCTACTTGCTCCGGTTAGCTACGGGATTGTATAGTCTTACTTGAGAGTTTCCAAGTATCCCGCGTAATCCCACTTCTTGCCATCCCTCCAAAAGCCTTCCACCACCGGCCCATGTGGCGTATTACCGTCTACCGACACCTCATTCAGCCAACTCCAGTACGTCGTCGCCTTCCATCCATTAGTCTTCCAGTCATTAATATCCCTCTCCGGCTGCTTGTTGAAGACCGGCAACACATCCAGCAGACTTGCGTCGTGCGCGATGCAGACCATGACATTGTCCTTGATATCCAGCTCACGCATCTTTGCAACCGACTCGGTGGCCAGGTCAATATCTGTATAGACGGGGTGTTTACCTCCGCGAGGAAGCTCATACCAGGGCGTGGTAGACGCCGATTTTTCGTCCGACGCGTTAGGATGGTGGGGAGTAAAGTGAGAGCATGGGCACACGGCTTTGGACGCCCAATCTCTGCGCAATGCAATGGCCGAAGCGGGAATCCCATCTGGGAGCGGGGTCTCTTCCGACGGCCGGAAGACGCCCGCAAAATGGCAGATGTCACCGCCCAGAAAGACGAATGTGGCTCCCTCGGGGGACGAAGACGGCGTCGTCCGGGCGAGACCGCATATGTGCTCTGGCTGATGGCCCGGAGCCTCAAGAAGGTAAAAGGAACCGTCGCCGAAGAAGTCTTGGGCTTTGAACTTGCCCACCATCAGACCTGTGTCGAAGTTGGCTTCCTCGAGCGGTCGGCCTTCAAACTCTGCTGCCGCTTGTGGATCATCTCTGCCCCCAGGTCTTCCTTTGGACGAGAAGTACCCAGGCCCAGTAACCAGCGTTGTTGATTTGGGAAAGACGGACACATCTCCGCGGTGGTCAAAATGGGCGTGAGACCAGATGCAGTAATCTATATGGTCGTGTGAGAGAGAAGGTTCTTGGGAAGCAATTGAGAGACAAAGGCTCTTACCAATCGACTTTGGATCTACTCCTCCATCCGCCAACACCTCATCGATGCCCTTTGGTACGCTCATGCCAAAGATCACGCTATCTGGCCCCAGCACTCCTTGTTGGGCGCCCTTGGGTAGGTTCCAGTAGTCTTTTCGGACGCCGAGATCGAACATTGCCTTTTTGCCGAGTTTCTCATGTTCAAGGAGGAAAGCTAACGAGCAAAAGTTGATGACTTCATGCCCTTTCACGACTGGCTGAACGAAGGACTCGGCGACGCCAACCATGGCAGTTGTCGTATCGACAAGCTTCACGCGCACAACATTGTCTGATTTTGGAATGTTGGCCATTTCGTCGATTTTGTTGATGAATCTTAGTAGAGTGGGTTAACAAACTACGGGACGACTTAAGGGAGATAAAGAGGGGAGAGATGCCAAAGAAAGTTTCCCGAGCCGCATGGTGCCCCGACGTCATCGGTGATTATCAAATGAACATGTCTTCTCCACTTCCCCGGGTTTTTGCATCCAATGTGGGAAGCTCATTGCTCTATCACCACGCGACGTTGAAGGTGCAGGAAATACTTACCCGAAGGTGCCGCAAACCAGCCAGCCAGTGTAGAGTCGTGCCACCTGCAAGCCACAGCTGCAACTCCGTATCGTACCACCGGTATGCAAAAAAAGTCTCTTCATGTACAAATGTCTAGCGGGGAGTCGAGAGTCCCTAAAATGCAACCTTCCAAACGCCTGCGCGCGTGCCAAATGCTCTAATTTAGTAATATATCGTACCCGTCTCCCATGATGCGAACCTCTTCGCTGCCGAGACCGTACTTTCGTCGCACCAGTTCAAAAATGATCAATCCAGCGCTTGTGCTGGGAACTTGGCGGATGGTGTTCCACCAGAAACCGCGCCATAGCCATTTTCTCACGCCCAACCCTTCCTTTGCGGCCTCTGCGCAGCATTCTGACCAGGTCTCTTTGTAAGCCCGGTAGTAGGCCCTCGCCATCCTCCATCCGTCTTTACGGTGTGCCGGGTCGGCTCCCTTGGTTTCCCTCAATTTCGCTGCCTTGGCGTCGAGTTCCTCGAGGCGATCCCAGTGCTCCACTTGCACGTGAGTCAAGGGATGAAGAACAACTTGTTGGGCAAAGGATGCGCTGAGTCCTCCGAGAAGCAAGAAGATGGGTTCTATAGCGTAGTGCGGACGGATGATGAGAGGCTGCTTGTTGTCATCTTCCGGTTTACCATTCTTCGCAGGTCGCTTTTGGGCCATAAAGTCAACAATATGCTCTTCGAGTCCGCCGTAGTACCACGAGACGAAGCGGTAGTATCCTTGCGCCTTGACGTATTCGAAAACGCTGAAGAATACGGCTGCGCCGAAACTGTCCTTCATGAGGGAAAGACCCCATCCCGCGAAGATGCCACGCACACCAATCTCCCTCAGCTTCTCGGCACTGAAGGCCCACATGCTTCTGGGTTTCCCACCCTCCGTTGGCATGAGGTCGCGGTGATCATACCGTGCCTGGATGGCATCTAACGGTGCCGCGATGAAACTCTGGAGACTTCCGGCGAGAAGTCCTGCAGTGAAGGTCTGCGTCGGGTGCGGTGGTGGGTAGACAGTCTTTGTCGCTCTGCCGCTCTCCTCATGCAGGCTGCCAAGGATCGTGAGGTAGCTGGTATACAGCACGGCCCCGACGCCCACGTTTGCGATGAGCGGCGGCAAGACTTGATTCGGGAGCACGCTCCAGCCGTGCTGCTTCACCGCCGACGTGAGCACGCCCGGCGTGGTGCCCCGCAGATAGAACCATGCCTGGTTCAGCGTCGCCTTCAGCTTAGTCGAGGGCTCCTTGGCGGCGGCTTGGGCGAGCAGCTCGATCTGGGCCTGGTGCACACTTCGCGCATAGGCGAGGTAGTCGACGCGGGTGCGGAAGAAGGCTTTGACAGGAGCGCGGAAGTAAAATGCGATGGCCTGGGCGCTCAAGGCGCGCACGCCAGCGGCCGATGCTGCGGTTGCGGCGTTGCTGCGCGGGTTCTTGTCCGGAAGCTGGGCATCGGGCGGTAGGACGGGGAGGACGCCTGTAAACGGGTCGTATGTCGTTGTGCCGTCATCGAGACGTCGTGTCATTGTATACTGCTTTTCATCGTCCCCTACAGGTGAAATATCCTGGATGAGATTCAAGTCGGCAAAACTTGGCATCGGTTGAGATCGGTTCGCAGATTCTCGATGTGATGACTAAGCGCATGACCCTGGTAAAGTGGGTACCTTTATGCCGGACGTCTCCCGCCTGTGACTGTCAGCACGGGGTACCTAAGGCAACCACATGATATCTCCAATTTGAGATCCCATGACAACCTTCACAGTCCAAGATTTAACTTTTAGGCCTTCCAGAAGAGTTCTTATATCAGCATGAAAAATAATTCTGTTTCACCTCTCGAATTCGAAGTCCCAAAATGAAGAGGGGGGGGGGGCGGGATTCATGTTTTCGATAATACTTATTTCTCGATACGGCAGATACAAGGAGTGATGCAACTTTTATACCAAACTGGGATCCGAGATCACAAATTCTCTCTCTATCTATACACGCATGTTATCATGTTGTTGATGGTGTACATATGAGACATGACCGACAATACTCGATCTTGGATGATGGGAAAAGGCGTGTAGCTATCGAAAAGGTTTTATCGAATTGTTATAGAGCTCAGAAGAGCCCTATCTTAGTCTGGACTCTAATAGTAATAGCAATCGCACATATTGTCGGACGAGCGCCTGAAACTGTAAGTAGACAATCCAAAAATGATTCCGGAGAAGATAAACGCGCACCATATCTAGCATAGCCATGTTGATCGTTCTCGTCAATGCACCATATTGCGTTAGTCAGGCGTTCTTTGAACTTGTCTATTTGATCCTGGAAACCAACCTGGCCACATCGCTGATTACAAGCCCAGCTGTCGTCGCCGTTGCAGTTGCCGTTCTGTGGAAAGTCGTTAGTTTTCATCGATATTTATTTAAAGTCTCACATCAGGGCCACACATACTCCCCACTCTCTAGGGGGTTGTTGGCAAACTACTCTGGCGATTTCAGCTGTAGCTAGACTGCTGAAAAGAAGGACAGCGATAGCGGAGGCTTTCATCTTGGATAAAATTCTATGTGGAGTGTTATAAGAAATCACGATGAGAACTATTATTGAAATTCGGAGGGTGATCTACTCAAAGTGGTCAAGAACACCGAGGGTATTAATAGCTTGATAGCCTGACATCGAGGGTTGCCATTGCCTAGGCATGCCGTTAATTCACACGCTGCAGCGCCAATGATCTCACTCACGCAACTTGAAGTCGATTCCACTCTCGAATCCTGAACTGTCCCAAATTGCCTCTTTACCATGTTTTACCCCGCACCCGATAATCAGTCCTCATACTGAAAACTTTGAGTGATCTTGCAAGTATGCGAGTCAGCAGTCTCAACCCTCGTTGGTGTATTGTATATAGAAATAGGTGGGAATGGAGAGATTGAGGGGCTCTTTGATCTGTGAATGGCTTTGGACATGATTCGAGGCTTTGATCAGTCGGAGGTTCTGTTGCACCGATGGGAATGTGTATTGGTCGAGAGTAATCTAGACGCGGATCCAAATTCGTCTTGGAACGTTGGTTCACTAAACACTCTTCGTGATCATGTCAGGAGTGGTTAAGCAGCACACAGGAGGTACTTAAACTCGAGTGCGTCCCCTCAGTCTCTGCCAATTTTCGAGTGGCAGAAACCTCTCGTCAAAAAGGTTCAAAGAGAACCTGAAGTCTTCTTATGAGACAACAATCATAGACCCAACAGCCTGCTAGAATAAATGCCGAATAGAAGTGGTAATGAAGTAGAAAAGATCGATGTTGTGCATTTCCATTCCCGGGTAGTCGATGTCAGATGCTCCCCGTAAGGTAGGGAGTCTGACTAATCCTACAGTGGTCTGTTGCTGGATTTTACGCTAAGCCCAGCCTCTGTTGGCTGCCTGCCCTACTTACCTCCCAGAGGCCCAGCAACTACAGCTCAACATCCCAAACGACCACGTAAGATGTGGAAAGCTACCCGGCACCGCCTTCATCGTGATCGGCTTTCCGCACTTCGGTGATCTAGTCACGATACATCTCGGGCACCATGGAACTCCCTTCCGAAATACTTGACCAGGTCCGTTGAATCTCTCTCAACTGTGTGCGGTCGGCTAATCCTGCGCCTTCGATAGGTCCTTGATGGGTTGATGGTCTACCAGCCATTGGCAAAAGTCCGAGGCGTCTACTCTCTAGGCGACTGGAAGTTTTTCACGTCACACTCAGCGCGGCTTCCTGTTAATACGCGACACGGTTCCGGCTCCTTGCAGAAGTTTAACCGGGGCGAACTGCCCCCTATCGGAGGCGGCTTCTGGAACTTGCGCTTGGTCTCGCGCCAATGGAACTCCTCCGTAATCAGAATGCTGCAGAAGCACGAATGGTGGAGCGTACCCTTTGATGATCGGAATCGTCTCGAGAAACTCATCCGAATCTGCGACGGGCCTGATGGCGGTCCATGTAGTTGGATCAGAAGTCTCAGCCTCCACGATCTCGATGGACTACGAACTTTCTCGCGGTTGTACTCGTACGACTTTGAGATGTAAGATTTACTCGTCCACCGCCATGTCCTGAGCACTCTCCGTCTTTGCAAAACGCCAGCAAGCTTACTCGAGTCTACTCCCTATATAAGAACGAACGACTGACTCAAGGCTGACGCAGGTTCGAAGGTCAGGATGTCGATGACGACTACATCATCTTGAACTCCTATGTCGACAAACTTAGAACGACAGATTGGTGGACCTCGGACCCGACACGCTCTAGGCACGAGCTCCATTACGGGAAGAACAATGAACACGCGCTTCTTCGACGCTTTTTGAACACTGTCAACCACATAGAGCGCTTCAGTGTTGAGTTCCCTGCGGCACACAGCAAACACGATCTCATGGCAAATTGTTACGACATGCAAGGCGTAGATGAAGTTTTAGCAACAGTGAAACACGGTCTGACCAGTCCGACATTCCAACACTTAGTGGACCTCAGCTTTGCGGTGCCTTCGACGTGGCATATTGGACAATTGGCTGGTGGCCTCTCTCAAGATGTTCGGGATCGCCTTAGGAAGCTACGCTTGGTTATCGTCGACGAGACTGGACCGAGCGGAAGCGCACAATACACCAAGATAGAGGAGGAAAACAACGACGGCGATAGAACGACTATCCTGGGATCGGTTGCGCCGAGTAATGTGCAGGCAACCTATCCCAACAGAGAACATCAGGACGCACTCTGGGCCTTGGTGGCATCTTGCCCCAAACTTGAGGCACTCGGCATCGAGGCGACGCATTATCTCAACTTGGACGTTCAGCAGTGGGACAATCCCCGATTCAAATCCAAATATCTGCGCGACCTCTCGCTCCGCCGAATATGGACAAACATACCGTCGCTTCTACAACTATTGTCGGCGGTTCCGTTATCGTCACAGGATTCGGCGATCCGCCGGGTCAACTTTGACGACGTCAAGATTCACTGGGATGGGGGCAATTGGGAAGACGTTTTTGCGCACCTGAGGACGAACTGCCCTGATCTTGAGATCTTTCGCGCAGAACAGCTCAGCTACTTTTCCAACCATCCGCGTTACGAGCACAATAACAGGCAGTGGGAGAACTATAATTCTATCTGGACGGACGACTACGATGAGGACGCTAACGATAGGCTGTTCTTGCAAATGCTCGATATGAAGCTTATCAAGAAGGCTGGGTCGCGGGAGGATTATCCTGTTTCGGTGTATGATTACGATTCTGAGATGGAGGAAGAAAAACCATAGGTACCCCATTGAAAGACTCAGTTGAAAAGCCGCGAAGGCTCGCAGCATACTGAACACCAGTTCACAGCGCGCACGCTCCTCTCAGACTGCATTCGATCTTTGGTCTTATTCAGAGTCTTGTGCGAGTCCGAAATATTGTGGTTCCAACCAGACAAACAGTCAAATACCTAAACGAGGTCAAACATCGCATGCATTCAGCCTTTTAATCAGGGATACGAAATCCTAGGGAGCTAGGTTCTCAACAGTTCGGCTTCGGCTCCATTGATCGAATCATCGGCTTCGGCTTCAAAGTTCATTCCCGCCCGGGCCCAAGGAAACGAGACAAGCAGAATCAGACATGATAGATGCAATGCAGAAATCGGCGTTTCGATCGGCGGAGAGTCGCATATACAATATCTTTGTCGCACATTGGCCCGGTCCCTGGCAGCATGCAGAGTGCTGCCCAGAAAACTCCCGAGTGATTCTCAATCTTGCCGGTGGTACACTCCGATCGGTGCGACATCGACTTCGGCGACTCTCTGAACGCGATGGAGGAAGATTGGTAGACCAGAATTGATGCAGAGATTCAGCGAGATGTGAAGTTATACGGAAAGGCGAGACGGTGGCACACGTACGACAGCATCGCGGCAGGTTCCCATGTACCACATCGGGTCGGCTCCGATACCCGGCACCGGAACGGGACCCCCGCTGGCCGGGATGGAAGGAACCCCCCACTCTAGGATCAGATCCTTCGGCCCACTACAAAAACGCCGCTCTATGTAGACAAGTCTGCAGCGGGAAAAGCAAGACACCCAGCTGGGGAAGTGGGCAATATCTCCTCCCTCCCCCCCATCGCATTCGCTGAGCGGTGTTCGCGCCTGCTAATCAGGTAAGCTAAGCGGGCACATATCGGCTTGAGTCCGCGCTGTACGCTTCTGCCGCCTTTGCATACCCGCTATTGCGTGATTGGACAATGAACAATTTTTGAGGCCATTGGTACGGGCAACGGCGACGGAAGTTGGAGGGGCAGGATAAGGATCTCTCTAGTTCGATGCCCTCATGGTACACGACAAGGTATCCCGTCTTAGCGAGAGTTGAGTGTGGTGCAGATGGAGGGGGGTTGAAAGCGAGGGGTTTGAGGTAGGCCGTAAGACTTGTAGGAGGGCCAACGCCGGCGCTGACAGTTGAAAAGAGTCAGCAGGTCCGGCAAACTTGGGCTTGCCAGCGTGCAAAGGCCGGGGCCGTGACCGGCGGTAAGCGGTAGGCGGGAGCAATACCGCAGCGCCATGTACTCCTTGGGTCCTTTTTCTGCATGGCTGCTTGCTACCAACGTTAACATTGTAAGGTCCCTCGGGGAACAAGGAAACGGC